CTCTCTCACAACACAATTCTTCTCGAAACACAAAACCCATACCAAACGGAATGCAGATTCCATCGCGATCATAAAGGATTCTGAGAATATTAGCAACAGCGTTTATCGAGCGGCGAATTGCTCGAGCCATGTGCAAATTTCCGCAATTATTTGTCGACTTACGACGTCGTTACATTGCAATTTAGAGTATAACAACGAAAATTGCGCCTAACATCGAACACGCGAGTCCGACGAGGCGATCGGAAGGGATTGCGACCGCGATGTCGCGTGAATTCTTGATCAACTTCGCGCTGATTACCCTTAATTGAAATTTTCATAAGACGGTATCTAATCGTCTCCGCTGTTCCGATCGCGCTAATCGTCTCTACTGATTCTGTTCGGCCATCTCATCGCGGAGGACTTCCACGGTCGTCGGAATTACTTTGGATATTTTATAAACGAAACGATGAGAGTTCCGTCAAGCCGGCGTAATCGCTGCCAATTTATTTAACCGAATGAAAGAAGGAAGGGTTTCTCGAGTTCCCGGAATGCGACACGGTATTCGCATTACGCAACATGGTCAGGAGCTTGAGTGTTCGCTCCCTTAACGCGTGGCGTTGCGCACGGGACGTTTACGGTTAAGGTGGCCGGTTAAAGACAAAAGGGTTCCGAGGGATTCCGTTGACCACTGGAGAACGGGGGGGTGAGAACTCCCTCCTCTGCCGAGGGTCAAACTTTCTCGGCAATCTCGTAACGAGTAAAGCGAACAAGCCCCGTCCCATTGTACGATCGAAACGTTTTATTCTAATTGCGAACAAATGTAGAAGGAAACACCTAGATAATCCGTTTCCAAGTTCGACGCGCAACCGATTCGAAACACGGCAGGAAAACAAGATCAAATCGAAATGCATCGAACGACTCGAACTGCTAAAAGTATCTTCCAGTGTCTGTTCGACGATCATCAGAATTCAGTATTGGTTTTGGTACAATTACGAGCGAAGAAGAAGGCGCCGCGTCGCGACACGCAGAGGCTGAGGTGAAATACATACCGAAAAGGTTTTCGGGGATGTCGAGGGTTTACGAGAGGAACGCGGGACCGCAACACACGCGGTGGCCGAGAGCAAACCAAACCAAAGATTAATGCACTACGCTTACTGGGGCAATTTGCGCCAAGTGTCGGAACCCTAGAAACCTGCCCTCCCGGGTAGATTGGTGCCAGGGATCGTCCCTCTCTCTGCGACGACGGTTTGCCCTCTTTCGGAAAGTGTGCTCCGTGTAGCCTCTTCCGAAAATGCGATGAAACGCGTTTCAAATTCATTACCGAATTCGTCATTGTTTGTGAAACATTGAAATCGGAACCAGCTTCGAAAGGTTCGATCAAAAGTCGAGAGCAAAAAATGTTCAGACGATTACGCGAACTTTCGTCTCGATTTTTTCCTTCTAATCGAAGCTTACCGAAAGTCTGGGACGGGAAAAGACCGAGAACGGAGGACAGACGGAGGGTTGAACGGGGGGTGGCATTTCTTGCGATTAGCGAGCGACTAGGGGAAGCCACGCTGGAGTCTGAGGTTTTAATTAAGCATTCACTGCGGATGATATCGCATGCCTCTTTATACTTCATAGCGGCCAGATGTTGCTACGAGGACCTTCCTTGCCTTAGGTCCTCCCTCTCCCGATGCAAGCGCGACGGAAGGAACGTTGCTATTTCGCTTTAATTATGCATGTTTAATTTGCTTATATCCTGACCGCCGCCGCTGATACGCGCCGCGACTACACGTTTCTACCCGAGTTCCGCCACGGTTTCTACGCTATCGCGATCCCTATTCACCGAGATTCCTACTTCTACCGGAACGATTATCAAGGTTTGGGGAAAATGTCTAAAAATTATCAAAAAAAAGTCGAACGCATTATTAGTTCTTCATAGAACATGAATAAATGGAAAATTAAAGTATCATCCGCGATCCAACAACAACGACAATAATAATAGTAATAATAATAATAATGTGCATGAGACAAAAAATAGGTACGTAAAAACGATAACGAGACGGAAGGGAAACGACCGATTTTATTCTGGGCCTTTAACGAGTTCGCCTTCGGACTCGAGGAAGAAAAACTTGGAAGGGTCGATGGGGACTCGCGTCTCGTGAACGAAGGCTTCCCTTACGGAGACGAGTCGTCTCGGTGATCCAGTGATTGACAGATCGAACCCTGCTCGAAGACCGACGTTCCCTCGTGCTAAAATGGCGACGAGAGATGGTTTATTTTTAATGGCGGATACGAACAGGCAAAGGAAACCGCTCGTCGAGACCATGATCTCGGGTAAGATCGAACAAAACTTTCCCATCGCGCTGGTTCCTCTCGTACAAAAATAAGTACTGAACGAAACCCTTGATCCTCGAAGTAACGTAACGCGGTAAGAAACGACGAGACTTTCATGGACTTTCAGAACGTTGGTACTCACGTTTTTAGAAAACAGAGAGGGTGAAATCTATTGTAAAAGAGAATACTGGAACGAGGACAACCTTATTGTATATTAGGCACCTACGCGTTGGTGGATTGGAACGGGGTGGCGATGTCAATATATATGCAAACGCCGACATAACGATCTATCGGTACGTAAATAATATAAGGGGTGCGAGGGGTAGAAAGCGTCGGGAAGAAAAAAGAGGCGATCGGGGTGGTCGATCGCGCTGAGAAGCCGGAGGGGGAGACTGGGAAGAGCGAAGCTTAATATAAAACTTCGTTTCGCGATCGGTGGCAGCGGCGTAGAAAACGGCGAGAGCCGACAGACAGACATTCCGGTATCGTAAAAAGAGGCCTCCCGCGCACTGAATCAACTCCATTTTTCTAGTATTAAGCTTACCAGAGATAAGATAAGCGAGAGCGGTCTTCAAGTTCTTCGAACAAAAAACAGGAAATTTCTTCGAGCTTGAAAAAAATCTGGGAACGCGATAATGGAAATATCGGAGATTATTTTTTACCAAGATTTGAAAAGAACACGGTTGGTAGAGTTCAAAAATTAAAATAATATTCAAATTGCTGCGAGCATCCAGTACCATGGAATTGGAATCCCTGATCGATCGGGAGAAGAAAAATCTCGGGAGACCCCGCAGGCACGGGGGAGCGAGCCACCCCCCCGGACCATATTCTTGAAAGAACTTTTCGTTCGTATATTTCGAGCATCCTTCCTACTTATATTCTTCCGCGAACGCGGCGGAAAGAAGAGGAAGAAGAAGGGGGTCGAAGCGGAACGGAGCGGAGCGGTGTGGCGCGGTGGCATGCGCGCGATGAAACTTTTAATAAATGGCGTAGTCGATATGAAGTATAGGACTTTGACATATCGTGTGTCTGTAATGTATAGTTAAATCTGGCGGCAGATGTGGCGGCTGCTCGCCTCCCTCTCGCGCTCCGCTACTCTCCGAGCCATCCGCGTTCCCGTCCTACCCTCGCCCATCCTGGTTTCACCCTGTCCTCTACCTCTCACCCCCGCGCGTTCGCTCTTCGCCGAAAATTTTTCGATTCCAACCCGCTGCTGCGATTCGATGGACCGTGGTATGGATCGATTCGTTTCGGGACGAATATAGGATAGATCGTATACTGTCTATTGTAGAGAATTTTTCCCGGCGTACAGAGGTCAATGTCTTCGCAAATAGACCAGGAGTCGTCTAAATTTTTATCACTCCTTTAATATCCGTTGGATAAACTTCGAATGCGAAGCGTAGGTCCCGCGTCTAAATAAATTGTCAGTTCCCTACCCTCTTGCCGATCCATCAACTTTTTTCCTACGACGAGAGCCTCCTCCCATGACTGCATTTGTGATACGCGTTACAACGCGAGGAAAAGCGCGTTCTGTCGCTTATGCATCGAAAGAGAGGAAGAGATTCATCTACATCCTGGGGCGGTGCGCGTAACGAGGGTAGTAGTGCGAATCATTTTTTTCGTTCAACGAAATAGCGCGGCGAAGTTTTCGATCAAACCGGCTGTCTAAACGAGAGCTTCTCCACAAAGCGGATCGGGGGTAATCTGTCATCGAAACTGCCCCGTGGCAAGTCGTCGCAACACCAGCCGGCATCCCCGGAAGCCGTTGCGACGCGCCGCGCGCCGTTTTCATCCCCCGGTGTCGACCTTGCCGAATTTACTGCCCTCGTAAAATTTTCGACGATTCTTCCGTACCTAACGTTTAACCCTTCGAGAAACGTTCAGAACGCGCGAACTGCCAGATGTTCATCTTCCAAGAATTCTTTTCTACCACTTCCTCTATTCATCGACAATGACATGCGTTGTGTACGTGCTAGTTTTAAAATATACGTGCATCCCAAAGCAAAGCGTACAAACACCGATTGCACGATACTCGTCGCGTAATAAAGATACTGTCCGCTCGTTTCGTCTTCCACCGTCAAAGATTCTAACGAAATCGTAGAAAATCCCGAAAGCAACCAAACGTTTAAAGGCAAGCAACGAGCAAAGGTCTTTACCTTCCAACTTGCGGAGGAATGAGGGAAGTGGTACCGCGTGGCCGAGCACGTGAGAACGTTCCCCTCCACGTGGTGTTTCGTCGTTCTACGGCGCGCTCGCGCGTACCGCCCACATCTGCGCCGGCACCCATGAACGCCCAAGTCTGCCTCGTCGAGCCTCGTGGCGGGCCGAGGTCGAGAGAGTCGTGCGAGCGCACTCGAGCGCCTCGGCGAGCGGCTCCGAACCGAAGAGAGTTTCATCGCGTCCGTGCCCCGACCCGTCCCGTCCGGGTTCCCGTGCCCCTTGGATCGCGAGACGCGCCGCGACCGACCTTGGTCCGCCTACGACGCCGGAGGGACGTGCCTCCACCGTCGCGATACCGTCGTCCCATTGGTCGACTCGTACCACTAACTCTCGATCACGTGATCCTCCCGCAACCGTGACCAGAGACCGAGGAGAGAGGAGAGAGAAAGAGAATCGACGCCGAGCGCCGCGGCGAACCCCGACGCTCCAACCGAGAGCCCCCTATTCGCTGCTGCTTCCATCGCAAGGAAACGAGACGGTAGTGACAACAGAGATACGGCACTGGGAACATCGGAGCGAGCGAAAAAGACCGGCGGCGCCGCGATCTACGTGGAATTCGTCAGGGTGCTCGAGCAGAAGTCACCGACACGAGGAGAGAGAGAGAGAAAGAGAGAGACGACTTTCCTTTCTGTGTACCCTGTTTCCGCCACCATCGGAGCCGAATCCTGTGCTTCCCTTTCCACCTCGCGTTCTCCTTTGCCCTCTTCGTCACGCGGTTTCTCTTCGTGATAGTTGCCTCGCCTCTTCGGCTTCGCCCTTCTCGTGTACCACCTCCGCCTCTTTCCTTCTCCTCCTCCAACATTGCAGCTCGCCGAGAGCGTACAATCGCGATCGCCTGGCCAGCCAGCCAGCCAGCCAGCCTGCCAGCCAGCCAGCCAGCCAGCTAGCCTGTCAGCTTGGGTTCCGGCCGATTGGGACACGTTTCTAGTAGCGGAGTACGCGGTAGCGGTGCGCGATCCGTCGATCTCGGCGATTCCATCGATCTCTCGTGAAAAGTGTTTTGTGCCAGCCCCGGGATCGTGTTTCTTTGGTGAACTCCAGTGCTCCGACCTTTTTCGAGATGACCAGGTGAATGCGCGAAGCGGGACCAGCCGCTCTCGCTGGTTCGAACAGGGTCCCGAAGATTAGTCTCCGTTCCGTGCACCTCGCGAAAATTTTCGTAGAAAGTGACGACTATGACTCGTGGTGTATCCAAGAACTATAGTGTAAAATTCGAGGTGTAACTTCCGGGCGTTTGGGATGTCACCGTCGACTTGATTGAATTCGTTCGCCTCTGGACTATAAAAAGTTCATCGTATGATCGTACGCATTCTATTCGATCAGTACAGACAGTCGAACGCCAAGAATCGTTTCTACTCGTTCCATGCGTGAGAAACGACAGAATTCATCGGATTCTCCGATAAGTTGGATCACGGCCGTCGCGTTCGGTCGATGCGCGGCAACCAACGAGCCGACCGCGAGAATCCATCGAAGCGTTTAGGCGTTTCCGCAGAACGCGTCTTGGAGACGTTGATCCACGCGGGCGAGAAGGTCGCGAGCGTGAAGACGAGGCCGACGACACCCGTCCTGGCGAACGACGGAGGGGGTGGCTTCTGGCTGGCCACGGTGGCCGCGGGGGCAGGCGCCCCGGCCGGGCTGCCCCCGCACGGGACCCATCATCCAGCCATGGACCCGACTTGCGGCACCGCGGAGACCGGCTTCATCAACAGCCAACCGTCTATGGCCGAGTTTATGACCGCGTTACCGCAACTCACCGGCGACGCGAGTCTTCAACACTCGCCGGGAACCGGAGGATCCATCAGCCCCGGGTCTCATCATCCCGGGTACCACGCGATGATGGACCCTCACGGAGTCCCGGATCCATCCGTGAACGTACCCGAATACCCGTGGATGAAGGAGAAGAAGACTACAAGGAAGAGCAATCAACAAGGTGAGTCGAATCAAGCGAACAACGCGAAGGAACGAGCCTACTCAATACGCTCATCGGACAAGACTGTTCGATCGATGACAAAGATTTCGAACTTTAAAATCGATCGTACGAATCGTAGTACGAAGTAGTTCCAAATTGATATGTCTGTTCGTTAGCGAGAGATAAATGAATCTATCCAAGAGCCATCCTGTTCGTAAGTCGAGAAACGTGATTACTCTTCGTCGTACGAGTCGTGTTATCAATTACCCAGAGTCTCGGTAGGACGATTCGGGGATTCGTTCGAGTCAATTAAAGCTGGCTCGAAGAGTTCGCCCCGTATCCACGGACAATTATCGTCCCCGCTCCGCATGGTTTTACAACCCTTTCACGGTGCTTTAATGGATACAGATATCGCCCCGTTTGCAGCTCGCAAAGCGCCCCGATTATTCTTAACTTCTACAAGGAAGAAACAAGCCAGGATAGAAATGTAGATCAAAGTTAAATTAAAATAACAAACTCTTACGCCTTATTGATACGCAGTTTGTTTTGCAAAAGATGATCGAACTTTATCGCGATTGATATATGGTATAGATGCGAATTTGCGGCAATAAAATCATCCAACAATTCGAAGCTCGGACGGAAGACGAATCGATTAACGCGTAAATTACCCCTGTGCGACGCGTTGTGGTTCGCCACGGGGTGTCCGTTCCCCGACGGCTAATGACAGTACGCGACCACTCCTTTTCCTTCGACATCCGGTGCTCGTCACGTGCGAAAAACCGCGCGTTTTCCCAAGCATCCGTAAACAGTCGTCGGCAAATTATGACGTATCGGCCCACGCGGACGGACAATCGACGGACTGATGGGCAACACATGCGGGCCTGCGCCGAAACCCTTTCAACGAGGATGAATTATCGTCTTCCTGGGAGAATTCGGTATCCGGTGTCTTCGGCCAACCGCAAAGACTACCACTTCTTTCGTTCCGGTCTCGGTTGACATCCATTAGCTTCTTGGTCAACGAACATTTGCCAGGGATAATTGAACGATGACGATCTCTAGAGCGCGTTCATCTCGCATTTAGATCTCGAAGAAGGGTTGCCGTTTTCGATGCCTTTTAACGAATTCTCCAATTTGCAAAACGAAAAATAGAGAAAACAGCCATCGAGCTGTCTGTAAATGACGAATCTATATGCACGAATAAACAGAGGGCAGAGTATCCATTTTCCAACAACTTGTTGGCTATCGTCGTCCCATCGAGGACCAATAAATCTGTTGGCGCGCCACCACCGGCGATCAAAGGGGTGGCCGGTGCGGCCGTGGCGGTGGTTTATGGACCGAGACACGGGCCATCGTGCGTCGCGTCGGGTACTCCGTTTATCCGTGGAAAGTCGCGGGCCGATTCGGTCGCAGGACACGTCGAAAAGATTAAGCGTTTGGCAGGAAGGTTAACCAGCCGTTGGCCAGGCGGTAACACGCGGAATCGTCTGTAAATTGAGCCCAGGGCCAACGGGAGAGAGCGTCGGGACGGCCATAACTCACCGGGGCTCGTTCTCTGCCACTCCGATCCTCTCTCGCTTCCTCCCGTTTTGCCTTCGACCCTCTCGTACCTTCGTTCTTCTCGGACCTTATCGACGGACCGGTAACCCTCTCGTGACAATCCGGACCATCTTGCTCGACGGAGCTGTACCGAGCATTTTTGTCTTCGAGGATCATCGTAACATGATATCTCGAGTAAAAATGCAGTAAAAGAGAATGGAACGACGACGCAACGGAAGATAGGTCGTTCGATGTTTCCAACAGATTTTGTACTTTCCCCGTTTGTTCTCGGAGACTTTCTCTCGTTAGAACATTGTCACCGTCTCCAAGCATGTTAATCACGAAATCACGTTCTCGACAAGCGGAAAATTCTAATTTAGATTCGCGTGAAACGACGTTAATTAGAACCAGGATATACGTACAAAAACTTTCTTCACGTCGGTATCTCCTTAACGGTAACTGCATCGAATCTCGTAGAAGCATTTTTCAAAACCAGCGAACACGGATAATCCTTGAGGTCGGCGTACAATTATACGGCAGCAGCGCCAGCATTAAGCATCGTAAATTAGCAAAGGGGACGGCGACGACGACGACGACGACGACGCGTTCCCCGTCGCCTCGTCCTCGCCGCGAAGACAACATTCACGTCTCCGAAGAAGGAAGATAGCGGTGTCTCGCAGCGGGGTGGGACCTTCCATCTAGGGAAGGAGATAGCAAGGAGGATAATGATAATCCAGCCTCTAGCCTCTAGTCGTATCCCGGAGGGATGCAGGGGATTAATTGACACATCGGCGTTTCGAAGGAGAGGGAGAGGTCTTCTCTGCGGCGCCTCCGGTTTGTCGGCGTGACTGATGAGACGCCTCGAACAAGCCGTCGTGAAAAACACCAACGGATCCGTTTGGCTTTTTTTGCGAACGCTGGGCGAAGGTGGCGGTGCTCGTGATGCCGGTGTCGGTGGTGGATACGGCAAGAATTACCGAGCAAACCATCGTCATCGTCTTCCGAGTTTCCCCTCTACGCGCGCCTTCCCGATAACTCCTCTAATCAGACTTCTCTCTCTTCTTCTTCCCCTCCAGGGGAGTGCCCGAAGCGTGGAAACGAACGCGTCGATGTTACAGATTGGAATTTGATGCGAGCACGGTGACGGAAGGGTTGTCGTCTCGAGACGAGGACACGTTCCTCGAGAGGACGGGTACACCCGGCGTGGCTGCTAATTGAAATTTTCGGACGAAGACTCGGTGTCTGGCTGCTAAATTAGCAGCTGCGAAATTAGACGCTTCGTCGATGAAATCTCGAAGCATTTTTTTGCATAAAATCGCGACGTTTGATCGATGATATTGAAAGGAGATTGTACACAACGGTGTATCTTTAAACAAGGGAGACGAGTGCTCGAAGAAACTAACAACGATCTTAGCATAGAACAGTAATCCGACGTCGAACGAAGAATCGAGAGGAACCTTGAATGGTACTCGGTGGAACGGAAAAGCGGAACGAGATTCCCGTCGGTTTCGCGATAAAGGTGATTGAACGATTAGAGAAGTCTGGATCGAGGAAGAAAAGCACGGGAGGAGAGCATCTAATTTAAAGATTCATTGGCAAGTAAATCCACGCCGAATTAGAGATAACTCTCGTAGGAAATCCCAGCCAGCGAGATCCTTAGAAGCCGCTGCTGCGTTTGCTCGACGAAAGGAGAAAAGAAAACGAAGGAGAACCGCTCTTAAGTAGAACGTCGTATTTAACCGAGGGATAAACCCCGAAGGAGGAATCGTTTGAATTTCTATAATACAAATTCTGTTAAGTTTCAGGCGAAGACGCGGAAAGATACTTAATGTTCGACGTGAGTTTCGTTGAAGCAGAGAAATTCTCTGTTCATCGTGTCAAAGATGTAAAAGATATGTCTGTGTATAAATTTTAATACGTTCGAGCGTAGGATTCTTGGTAAGGTATCGGATGCGTAAACGAATTGAAGAAGGGGAACATATGTCGGGCGGTTCGACAGTTCTGAATTTCGAAATACCGTGGGTGGCTGAATCGTGGAAAAACTAAAGAGCCGGGGAACTCGTTCGGTCATAAAATCGAACGATAGTTCAATTCTCCGACGTAAATCCCCACGAGCCTCCTCTTATCAGCTTCTCTTTGCTGTACAAAACTCGAATCGAAAAGTTCCACAGACTCCCATGAGAAAAGAGATATCTTTACGTATTCTTCTTTGTGAAAACAGCTATCCTAATCCCTACTTAAAATTGGGACACCACTTTTTCACGAGCTCATCTTCAGAAGCGTAACGACGTTCCGTCGGAACTGATACGAGTCACTTGGATTCCGTTCTGTTATAATTTATTTACTAGCTACAGGGATACGCAGCCTCGCGAATCAACGAGACGATCGTTCGATAAAAATCGCTATTTTTCACCGGAGGTTACGCTCGGTAAGGGTAAGAAATACCCGAGAAGAAATTTACGATAACAGTTATCCGCTCGTCGCTTGGCAAACGTTCGTAGAAATCACGAATTCCGTGTAACGACACCCGGACCCCCGCATCTGCGGTTTCGGTGTCGGAATAATAAACACGGCATAACAAATTGATAATCCGGAACTCCATAATCGTGTGCATATTTCGAGTCCCCGGGGGAATCTGGTACGGCCCCGCGGTAAAAGAACTTTCCACGCTCGTTGTTGCGCCAAATGGGCCGCCGTAAAAGCCTCGGGGGTGCTCCGAGCACCCTCTTTCCCTCCCTAGCCATCGTGTCCTTCGCATCCGCTTTGGAAGTTCGTCGCGCGACCTCCGACCGCCCATCGGTTCTGTGCTTCCTTTTATCGTTCGTTTAGCGGTACATACGTACGATCCGATGGTTTCGAACGTGCACGAGAATGAAAATGTTTCGGCAGCCAACCGCGTCGTCGGTCGAAAGATTGATGAATTCGAACGGGTTCGATGAATCGCCGGAAAGTGGAAATCTGATCGAAAGGGATCCGTGCTAGGGAGATGTAAATAATAGCCGCGCGGATACGTTTCCCGAATCCGAACGCTTCTCGAAAACGAGTGCTCCACGCGAATCGACGACGTTGCAACAATTGCAATAACTCAGGAGGAGTATATCTACTCTACTAATGGAGCGGTTGGCTCGTAGTTTCCGCGAGGGTGAAACGTCGCGCGTTCGGGGTGGGTACTCGAATTTCTTTCTCGCGGGGCGCATGCAAATCCGCGGCCAACTGCAAAGTGAGACATACCGCGATAGTCGGCTTTAATAATAATTTCATGGAAACGTTCCAAGAGAACGCGACCGTATTTTCGTCCCGTGAACCAGGAAACGGAGGTGAATAAAACTCTATGGTCGGTTCCCCTAATTTCTCGTAAAACGAAAATAAGAATGGCCCGAGGACAACTACTCGTAAGAAGTTCGTTTATATCCGCTGAAATTTAATCCTAGGATTAACGCTACTCGATCCGAATCGTTCCACGTTTCTCTCGTAATTATAGTGGT